GAGCAAATTGAAAAGGTTAGAAACATGAGGATTAACTTGTGCAAAATCCAGAAGTTAAGGACCAGAATTGCCATTTTACTATTAACAGAAATTACCTAGAAGGCCAAAAACCCGGTACGGAGATGTTGTGTGCTTAACAGAAGGTGTCGATGCCTTGTTGAAGGTGTTGCCCCTTATTCGATTTTCATAAAATTTGTGTTTAATTTATTATTTTGAGTGTGGATCCTACTTCTATTTCAATTAGGTTTCTAAAATTCTATAAATACCCATTCAAATTCAAAATTGAGGGAACTTTAGGGGCTGGTGGCAACCTTCTTTTGGGTATTCTTAGAGATCAAAATAAAAGATTCACCAACAATAAGAGATCAAAGATTTTAATTTTATCAAATTAGGTTTTATTCTTCCTTGATATTCTTATATTCATAATTATGATTTCAAATTTTATTATTTTTATTATGAAATAATTTATTCTACTAAGGTTACGATGTAACCTAATCAATTTATTATAGATTTTGGATTTTTATACTTTTAATCAAAATTATTTGCATGATGAATTTATATTATTAAATTTAATGTATTGAAAATCTGATCACCTTTCAATTGATTTAGTGATTTATACATGAATTTAAGAAAGAATTACGTAAATTAGATTAATAATAATATAAACTATGTTAGACTATGAGACCACAAGGTAATTAGTATCACGTGTGGGAGTGGAGGAAGAGAAGAAAATTAAGAGCTCCCCTTTCCTAAACTAGAGGTTTCCATAAAATTTAATACTCATTAGTTTGTTTAAAATTATATAAAGATATGACTAATTTAATAAACAAGTGCAGGATTAATTTAACTTAAAAAAGTTAGTTAGTTCAAGAAGAATAACTTATGAGTCGAATAAATGAGACGAGTGGAGAATAAGATTAATTTAGGGAAATCCGTCATCATATGCAACAATACTCAATAAATTTGTTTTAGAAGTATATTAATCCAAAATTTATATTGATTAATTATAGTGAAATCAATGCCTTAGTATCTCATATCTTGATTAGCTTTATTTTAATTGTTATTTTTTTATTATTTTTAATTAAAGTTTCTTCCTTTTTAATTCTTCAAATAAATTTAAATTAATTATTTTGGTACTTAGTTAATCACCATCCTCAAGGATTAGACACTCTTCTTATCATTATATTACTTAGAGCGATTAGTATACTTGTTAAAATGATTTTAGTGCATCACTATGCCGAGGGGAATTAGGCTTGACTCTTAGTCACTTATTGAAAGAAATGGCCATATTAATTTTCCATACTGTTCTTCATTTCTTTGAAGTTTCCAATAATGAATCTTTTTCTCTAATAGCTCATCCACATCATACCGAAGGACTAACATGCCTGGCCATAAAATATAATTAAAGAATGAGAAAGAAAGCATACTATGGTATGTGGGGAAGGAGGATCAGCTTGAGGATCCGTTGTTATTGGAGGATCTGCAGCATGTCCATTAGCTGAAGATTCTAGGCAACAAGGTGCAGCTGCATCATTATCTTTGCCATCTGTGCAAGGGTTTTGTTGCATTTTGTTTGTTTAATGCCCAAACACTTGAGAATAGCCTTAATGGCCACCCGAAGAAATGAAGCATAGTTGAGTATGGCAGCAAGAGCTTCTGGCTCTGTCATCTCTTTCCTTGATGTTGTCTCCTCCATTTATTACCCTTTCTTTGTTTCTCTACCTCTTTCTTCCATACCTCAAACTTTGATTATATAATCTCCTGCTTAAATTTGTTTCTGCTGTTTGGTTGTTTGGCTCATCTTCTCCTCCTAATTTAAATGAATAGCTTCATTTTTAGAAAAAATAGAAGTACTAAACTAACCGTCTTTTCGGTCTTGGTGAACATTAGATAGACCTAACGGGTTTCCCTAAGTAGAAAATTCCCCTTTGATTAATAGATTCTTTGATGCGATCTCACTATGTTTTTCGCCATTTGCCTCCTTCGTACGTTTTATACGTTCTTTGACTCTTACGTTCTAGTAGGTGTAAGCTGGCCAGGCTTGGTAACATAAGCTTGTGACCCAAGTGGAGGCAATAAGATGATGCGAAGAGTGTGATTGATGGGCTCCGGGCCAAGACTTTTGGGTCAGAGGCACCACACGGTCACGCGATAAACCACAGGCCTGGGTGCACTTGAGGAGGCATAAAATTACCTCTTGCTTCTCAAGTGCCCATTGGAGAGGTAGGAGATGAATATGAAATTTGTTGCTGGCTTGTCAGAATAGGTGTAAGTTGTATTTTATTCAATTAATGAATCTTCAATTTTACACTTCCACAAAATTAAGAAAAAAAAAACTTTGTACTTCCACACTAACAAAAGTTTCATAGATTGATCCAACTTATCGTCCTTCCTTTTGAGAAGGGGTTATAAGAAGCAAAAAACTCCTCTCAAAAACAAAATAATTCATTTATGTTTAAACAAACCCATCAAGTAAAAATACTTTGCATCGTAACCACTGCTTTCTTAAAAGTTAAACTTTATTCCATGTACAGTGAAATTAAAGTGCAAAAATTATCCATCACAACTTGTAACTATTTAAATTTTAAAGATTGCCTTTTTTTGGCTTTCTAAATCTTCAAAGGTTTCTGCATCATCTTCTGGGCTCCAATTATGGTAACAAATAGATTGTTAAAAGGCCACTAATATTTACTTTTTTATTTTTTAAAATTACTTCTTAAAATTATTTTCAAACAAAGCATTTATTGTCAAACAACTTCTCATATGTGTTTCAAAAACAGATGCTCGTCTAATAAAGACTTAGAATAACAATGATGCTTCCAAAAAGGTTATTCCTACATATGAGGGTGGTTAGTTTCTTCTTCTTCCTTTTTTTTCTTTTTTCTTTTTAATCCATCCATCTATATAAATAGAAAATAAATTATACACTTAATGTCATACAATTGAAAACATATTAAAAAAAATTAAGGGTATATTTGGTATAGCTAGAAATATCTAACAAATGATGGATGGATAGCAGACAGTGGATAACGAGCATTTAATTAATGTAACTATTTAGTTATATAATGACAAATTGTCACTACTTAATATTAAATGACTAACAATAACATATATAAAATGTATAGATTTCTTCTTTTTATGTTTCCTATCACCAAAAAGCTTTTCTAGAGTAATATTACTAATAATATACAATCATAAATTAAACATCCTAAACATCCCGTTCATTTTTTTTTTAGTAGAGAAATTAATTAGATTGAAACTAACAATTATTTATCTATTTATTTAAATATTTTATATAGTAAAAGTAGTATTTATTATTGGTGGTAATTTTTAGTTTATTTTACAAGCTAATTAATTTAGGAATTGTTTAGATTAACTATTTTAATGCAGTTGATAACTAATAATTGATATTAAACATCCTAAACATCCCGTTCATTTTTTTTTTAGTAGAGAAATTAATTAGATTGAAACTAACAATTATTTATCTATTTATTTAAATATTTT